GCGGATGAAATAAAAAGACTTAGAGGGATACGTTATCGTGGCGTAGACCTACGATATTTGTGCTAAGAATTAAAAAGATTAAAATGCCGAGGCGTCCTCACGTAGTATATAAATAGATTGACCTAGTTTTCTCAACTTTGTCGTATTATCAGAAAGAGCTAGATGAACGCGCCTTGCGCGGAAGCTCTGTAACAGTCATGCTAATTTCCAACGTCGGACCGTGTACTAACGCTCAAAATAAGCATGGCTACTGAAAGACTCCTGACAAGGTGCGTTCACCTAGATCTCTCTGACAAAACGACAAAGTTGCGAAAACGAGGTAAAGCTATTTTTTTAATCAATGAAGAATATATATTGTCACAGTTTATACCGTTAGAAAATCACGAGGTATCGTGAAAAAAAGTCCAAGTTACCACAATAAGAGAAGTAAGTTTAACAAGACAATTATCTAAAGCTCTCCCTCTTTTTTAAATGCGATTGCCTAGGAAAGGTTGTTGTCTAGAGAAATTGAGTCGTGAAAACTATTGTTGCTTCATTAACCAAAAACAAGAGGTTTTGTATAGTTGCCGTGGTAAAAATTATTAGGGTGAATTAATTTGGCCTTTAAATCTATAGCACCTGATAGTATGGAAAATTGCTTCATAATTTGTTATCCAACAGGCGTCAGCACGAATGGAAACAGAGATAAATCATTTATAGTATATTTAACAAGAAATACAAAGTACGCTCGAGGAAATATTTAAAATATAAAATTGAAAACCATTAACAAATGAAAAAATATAACAACTTGATGTTACGATTTTTAATTTTCTTTCTAAATAAAATACTAAAAAAATTAATTTAGATTAAAAGATCCTGAAGGCATAGGATAGGCTCCACAGCAGAAATAAATCGTTTAAGAGAAAAGAACTAGCTGTAAATATTTATGAGGGGTACTTGGAAGATAGTTATCTGTTTATGAAGCAAGTCAATAAACAGAAAATGAAATACGAAGGTATAATCGTATTTTATAAGTTTAAGAGTTTCACTCGAAGATTTCGTGAAGAATATCATAGCAAATAAAGCAGGGTAGTTTCGAGAATACATCGGGTGGAATTAATTAAAAAGATTGATAAAGGTATGCAAAAATAACGCCTAGATCTCCCTTAATAATAAGCTTTGTGGGGGAATAGTATGGATATGGGAAGTCCATTATGCCGCTATATTACTCTCAAAACAGAAAATACAAGTAAATAGATTTGTAAAATAAAGATTCATGAATTTTAAAAATGAATCAACACCTGTCGAATATGACTAGGTCCAGTCCAAGTGAAACTGCACATATCATTGTATACCAAAGTAAACAAGGGCGAATCATCCAAATTGGAGGCAGGGAAGATAGCGTCCATTTTGTTAAAAGGAACCTTTTTTCCAATAAAATCAGCTTCTAACTTCTGCAGAAAAAAGAAGATTGAATGAGATGAGCACATATTATTATAGATATTTATAACTACTGACCTTAATAACGTCATAGATAAAGCTGGCCACCTGGTAGGCTCGACAGGCAATTGCAAGCATAAATGGAGTCTGCCCATCAGCGTTGCGAGCTGTTAAAAGATTAATTAAATGAGAATGGAGACCAAAAGATTCAACAAGGCAAGAAACAATGCGGTAAGAAGCCAAACGACGAGTTAGCTCATCACTGCGGAGAGGAGCGAGGTGCCAGAAACTGGCACTAGAGGCCGAAGATTCACTATTAGCCAAGGGCGCAGTTCGATTATGGCGTGAATCAGAGGAACCAGAAGTTAGCATTTTGGCCTCTGCTGATGACACAGAACCTGAATCCACTGATGGAAGAAAGAATAGTTCATGCATGCTATAAGCATTTGAAGAACGAGAGCTGAAATAATGGAATAAATAAGATGCATTAATAAAAATGTAATTTTGGCAATAAGAAAGATAAGAACATAAAAGGCTCGCGAAAATGTACTGACAAAAATCTGCATACCTCCCATTGTAGGAAATAACAGCTGGTCGGTTTGACATAGACTGTTGCTTCTGAGAAAGTGAATTCGTTGCATCCCTTGAAGGTGAACTAGGCATTTTGTCACTAATGTTGAGTGATAGGTCTTGGGAGGGCTTTGAATATAGAGCAGAATGTAGTTGAGTACTCCATTCGACCTCACGATTAGAAAGAGGCGTACACATCATTACAGCCATGTGAAGGACATTCCGATTTCCATCTGCACGCTCTTGAGCAACTGATTCAAAAAAAGATGGTTCACCGTCCGGTTGATTAAGCTAAAATGAAAAAAGTTGGGATATTTCAAGATAAAAATAATTAAAAATCCAATGGATGTGGATATAAGATAGATTAAATAAATGAATGAAAGGTGATGAAGGCAAGATGGAAATGTTGAGTTAAATTTCGTGCGGGATTGTGTATTCTGTCTCATTGGATAGCCCATGGAAAATCGTCTGGTCAGGTGTGATATTGTCTGAGTAGATCGCACTGTCAAGTAGACTCATCTGAATTGTTAAATAACAATTTAATGATGACCCTTTTCTTACTATAAAGTATGAGTTTAATATACGAAGAGTAACTGGGTTTCGATTAATCTTCAGGACTAACATTAATGAGACCTTCATTTCGTAGAAAAGATTGGTAGGTCGATCTCCCCAGAGGATGGCTGAATCCTGTTGTTCACTTTGGCACAATCCACGAGACATCATAGCTCGCTTCGAGTAAAAACTGGCTGAGCTTTCGTCCATCATATGATGTAAATCATCACAGCTGAAACTGACTTGTAAAAGTCTCACGTTAACACTAGGTCAGGAAGACTATCCGGTTCTATCTTACGCCTTATATATACTCATAACAAAAAACGAAGATAAATATGCATATATATATATAATGGTTTGGCTAATTATCCTTCGTATTGGTTCTGCTACTTTTGTTCGAGTATGTGTGTGTGTGTTGACGTATATACACAATACAGGTCCTAAATAAGAGTGATCAAAAAAGGCTGTCGGGCTCAGGTCATCAAGGCTTAATGACCCAAGAAGAAGCCCTGACCAAGACCGTATGGAAGTATGGTTAAGATAGTGAGATGTGAGCTTACGAAACCAGTTGTTCTAGCCTCTTAGTCTAGGGTCATTAACGTTTAACTACTCAAGGGAAGGCATGAAGGGAGTGCATAATCTGGTACATCTGGTTTGGTTGATGAGCTTAATCTAACATGTTTAACGAGTGTGAGTGAAGTTAAAACCATAACTGAGCAAATAAGTCGAGTCGCCTTCTTTTGGATGGCGGCTCAACCTCCTCTATCTTTCAATCTATCAAGTAATCATAAGTAGTTCTTACTCAACCTTCTACAACCGTTCCTCACATTCAATGTAAAATGTAGTCCATAATCTATCTTATCTTACTTTTAATAGTAGACGTACCTGAATTAGGAAACCTATTAATTTGAAATCTTTCTAGCTCATAAAGTCTCTACCATGTGTTCTGCTCCTTCTGACCGTTAGACCCAGCTCCCTTTTCAAGCATTTTGTGTTCCCCTAGTCTTTGTCGAATGGACATGCATGATCATGGAAACATTATTGGCCCGGAGTAAACTATCTTAGATACGGGGATTCCTTTTTCCCCCAGCTCGACGTCTATTCAACCGCAATATTCTATCTTAACTTCATATGTTCCACTCTTTGTCTGCCGATTTATTTCGATAGCCTGATTCTTTTCTCAATATATGTCAGAATAATCGAGTTCTACCTCCTTATGAACGACTTTATGCCACTTCATACATTCTTATAGGCCTATTTTTGTTACTCATGCGATATTAAGAAGACACTTTTATTCTTGTTTAAGTTAAGCTTATCTACAAAACGGAATTACTTTAAAATGTCAATACCTCTTTGTAACCTGCTCTTTCGCACTGTCATTGATTCAACAATTTTCATATGGCAGGGGAGGGCCAGATTAAACCAAAAGAAAGGCTTCAAATTTCTGCTAGCGCAAGAATATTTTATCCATAGTATGATCTTTTAAAAATAATCATTAAATTTCTCTTTTTTTATGCCTTTCAAACAAAGATGGATGATAAAAGTGCAATTCAAGCATAAAATACAAAACAAGGCAAATCTCTCAACTCACCCCTCAGCAGAGATGTATCAAACATACAAATGCATGAACCAGTTTCCAACTAAATAAGCCACAACTTAAGCATGAATCCTATCCCCAAATACAAATTCAGGCAACAATATCAAACCAAGAGGATGGCCTTCCTTGCTGAAAAGTAAAATACATAATCAGCTATATGATTCCGATATCATCACATAACTACGACGGCAGAGGAGACATTATGGTGTGGAGACTTCCATTCCGTATAAAAGTGCATGATGAAGAGATTTGTAGATCAATCTCACGAGAAGACAGCTGATCCCCGTTGTACTACAGTAACTTCTATTTAATACGACGTTCACGAGACATCTTCCATAGCTTTGAGTGAAAGCCGGTTAAGCTTACAGAAGTCCCAAGCTAGCACCAGGTAAAGAAGACTGGGGGGCTCTATCCGCTATGCTTTATATATTCATAATGAAAAACATTTTGATATAAATTTATGAAAAATGGTTTAGCTGATACTCTTATACTCTGTGTCCTTATGCATGTTTTAACGTATATACGTAATACATGCGTAGTAGCTAGTAATAAGAAAAAAATCCTGAAATCAGCCCCAAACATCAAGGCTTATCATCACCCAGGGAAAAGCACGATCGGGTTGAGTATTATTGTACGTCTGCTTTGATTAATAAGCTTAAGTTCCCTGTTGAATGAGCGTGAATTTAGTCAGAATCATAATTCAGCTAACAAGTTAGTCGCCTTATTTTGGACGGCGCCCAACATCCTCCTCCTTAATCTTCCAATTAAGCATAAGTAATTCTTACTTAATTTTCTACCATCATTACTTACATTCAACGTATTCTGTAATATGTTATTTTCAAAAGCCTTGCGTTTTGTAGTATGCATGTCATAATAAGCAAACCTCTGCATCTGAGACCATTAAATTTCATGTTGAATTTCCGCTCTGTGCACAGCCACTTCTGACTGTTCGAGCCAGCTGTCTTTACAAGCATTTTTGTGCTTCCCTAATTTTCGGCGGATAGGACATAGGGTCGACCATAGGAGTACACAATATTGTAACAGCTGGATCGCGATATTGGGTCATATTTATCTCTAAAGGAAAGCATAACCGAAAAAGTGTCAGGGTCTCTGTGAAAACTGTTTTTATCCCACTTTCCTCACTAGTCCGCCTAGCTTCTTAGAAAGAAGGCATGACGGCAATATCATGGCACGAGAAAGGGTCTCAGTTTGTTTGTCTCTGACCAAATAGTCCCAATCTGAAAATATATTCCTTATTAAAGGGATATTATTAACAATTATGCCCAAAATATAATTATTTTCAAGGAATACGTTTCAGTCTTATTGAATTTTCAATCAGATTATTTCTATCCACAAACCCCATACTCGTAAAAATCCGATATTAAAATTTCAACCTTAGTTCTGCATGTATAAAGACCAAGAGGGTGTGTCCTTTTGTGTGGTCGCAGTCTCCTTTCGTTGTATAGAAGTTGTTTGACC